CTCTGATGAGGTAAATCAACCATTTATTTCCAACAAAACTTGGGATACATTGATCAATCTTTGATTCCAGTTACACCAAATCATTTACTTCTAACAGAACTGGTCCATCTCTTATATCCTATTTGCTTCTGACCTTTGCTCGATCGCTAGTTCAGATAATGCTATGGCTAAAATGATAGTGATGCAAGTGGGCTGACAGAAGGGTAGTGGAGGATGAAGATATGGCTGAAAATGAGGTGCACATATGGCATAGCAAACGTGACAGGAAGGCTCTGGTTTGGCAAGATGATTATGATATTTATTACTTGTTTATAGTTTTTATATTGTGTAATTAATAATTAAATGAGCGTAATTAAGAGCTCCTTTCCCAAATCATAGAGTTGCTGGAACCCCCCTGACTCGGATGGGCATTTTAGTCCAAGCAAATTACAACGACTCTTTTTTGCCAAACGGCGTCAATATAACCATAGAACAGTTTGAAGCGAACCATTCTCAATCCCCTTCCGTTCTCTGCTCTCTCTCGCTCTCGCTCGCTACATTGAATCTGTTCTCAATCGATCTCTCAAAGGCTCTCGATCTTCGATCTTGATACTTTGAATCTCTGTCATTCTTTATTCTACATTCAATTTTGATTAATTTTGTTGATCTCTTAACGGTCTAATATTGTTTTTGCAGGCCCTTTTCTTTCCGAATATATATTTCTGTTTACAGCTGTTGTTTTTCGCTTATTTTTTTTGTTTGTGTGTTATTAACGTGATGGATGCAGGATTAAGAAACTCTATGGCATCGAACATGCCAGTCGTTTTCCTCTTCAGGAGCAGTATCGTCTGAGAAAAAGCTCCCATGAAAATGTATGTCATCTCTACCCTGCGTGAATTGATGTAAATTTCATCTAGACATTTGATGCAAACTGGTCTATATCCCATGAAAAAGGTCTCTGTTCTTCCATCTGGGCAGTTGATCTAAATTTCATTGTCACTTTGGTTTTATGTATCAAATTCGGAAATTCATTAAGTAACCTTATTCCAATTTTATTTGGGTTGTTGGATGATAAGTTCATCGAGGATATGGTTACCATTTGAAACCTTCAATTTGAGTTACTGAATTCTTTTGGGTTATAATTGACTTACTGAATTCTTTTGGGTTGCTTTTATGTAGTGGGACAGGTTTATTCGTAATAGATCTGCAATGGATTTTGACTATGCACATTTTATGGTGACCGAAGGATGTAAAGCTAAAGAGATTCCGGCCAGTTCACCTTCAAGAGAAGCATACCGAAAGCAGCTTGCGGAGATCTTTAACATGAACTGGAGGATCCTTGCTTTTAAGAACAAACCACCCCCCCCCCCCCTTGGATGGTTTTCTGAAGGAGAACTCTTCCGCTTACCAGGCCAAACCTACAAAACCCCGTCGCCACATTCCTCAGGTAGGCAAGTAGTGCTTGATTGTTCTTGAGGTTAGAGGGTCAATGATAGAAGGGATTCTTTTTTTCTCACAATGAATGATTCATTTTTGCAGACATCTGAGAGGACTTTAGATGCCCCAGATATTTTGGATGATTACTACTTCTGAATTGGTCACAGTTGATGATGAATTTGGTCCGGTTACGAGTGTTAAATGGGCTCCCAACGGAAGGCATGTTGCCATTGGCTTGAAAAAAACTCTGATGTCCAGCTTTGGGATTCCACGGCTAACAGATTGGTATGCTTCTTCTCAAGCTCTTTTGTATTCAGGCTTGGTTTCTTTTCTTTCGATGATTGAATGAATACTGAGTTTTTGTTTGCTGGGCAGTTACGAACTTTGAGAGGTGGCCACCAATCACGAGTAGGAGCCCTCGATTGGAACAATCATATACTGACAACAGGTGGGATGGATGGTATGATTTTCAACAATGACGTCCGGGTGAGATCACATATTGTGGAAACCTACAGAGGACATAGTCAAGAAGTGTGCGGCCTAAAATGGTCTGCCTCGGGCCAGCAGTTGGCAAGCGGAGGAAACGATAACCTTCTCTATATATGGGACAGATCATCGACTGCTGTTTCTTCTTCCAACTCCACC